AAAAAAAAAAAAAAAAAAGGGTAAGATATAATTCAGTAGATTATAGACGTAGAAAATTAGAAATAATTAGATAAATAACAAGGTTGAGAAAATTGTTAAGTAAAATTATACATAAATTGAAATAGATAATGATTAATTAATAACATAATAAATAATCTATTTTGTACTGAAGTCATATTGTTCTATTTATTCACGTTTGACTAAGCTTAAACTTAAAAGAGGCCAAGATATTTTTAACTAACTTTATTAATGTCTCTAAATATCAGGGGTATTTTTACTGTGGGGCCAAAAATTAAGGATGCTCGAGTGAAACTCGGGCATTTCAAGGACAGTAGACTTCAGTCATTAGCGCTCAATCGTGCCTTGCCTTACACCCCAAGTTTTTACTATGTCAAACACCAGCATGACATATACACGAGTTTTTCAAAAATTAAAGATGAATAAACACGATAAAATATAACTCGTTGAATAAATCGGAACATGAACTTTTCAAAAAAAAAAGATTTACCTGATAATTTCCAATACATGAACAACAATGAACATGTTAGTCATTGCAAAAGTCGGTTAAATTTTTCAAGTGAAAGAAGAATATTATCATCAATGATAATCCTAAATGTGTGATATCCAATGAATGCTACAAGACAATAACAAATTGTAACAACAACATATACAAATATTTCAGTGTTGATGAAATTTAATCAAGGTTGGAGTTTTTGGGGACTTGAAACGTCTATTAAATTTGGGCTACTAAATTAAAGTATGCAATATATATTCATATTTTTCTTAACTAACTAATCAATGAGTTTAAAACTTAATAGACCAATAAGCAAAACGAAATATTCAATCTCAAATAAAGTTCGACCATAAATTTAATGATGGTAAAAATATAAAATAATATTAAGACAAATGACATAGTTTATAATACCAAATCGTTGAACAAAATTTGAGTTTATATAATTTTTACACACACCACTTAATTGATTAAATAATATTATATTCTCATTTAATGGACTCTTTCTCCCACAAGTTCTGACTACAAAAAAAAATTCAAATTATTTGTGGGGTCATTTGACCCCACATGACCCCATGTGGGTCCGCCCATGAGCATGTTTCTTTCTATATAAACTCTCACTTCAGTTGATTATTTTTTTACACAAATCTCTACATTCTCCGTTTATAATTGTTATAATCTCCATAACTCTTTTATAGTGCAATATAAGATTTGATTTATTATATTCAAATTTACTTATTTGAGTTCATTTTTAAGATTTGTTTTCATAATTTGTAAGTGTGGCTTAAGTTAATTTTCTTTAATTTTTAGAAAAAAAAAATATAAAATTTATCTCCATTTACATTAAAAATAGTCGGTCCCAAGTCGGAAAAAGGAGGAAAGTTTCAAATTTTTTAGTA